GGATCTTTTAGGATTTTGAAGAAAAAAATGTTCTTTTACTGTAAAATTTCCCTTAACTAATACTTTTTCTTAGTGGCATTTCTTCCAAAAATTCCCTTTTCGACAAATTTGCGAAGCTGCTACTTGAGAAGTGGCGGATAGAGTGCGCCACAGACCCAATGTCATAGCAAGTCAAAGTGTAATAACATTGAAACAGCTGATGTAAACAAAGTGTAACAAAACCCAAATTGATTCAATAACTTGCAAGAAAGTGAATGAATTTCAATCCGGCTGATATCAGCGAGAGTATGAGAAAGAGGAAGCGCGGCAACAAAATTGTACCAGAGCCAGATTGGGGCCCAAACAACCCCAACGTCACCAAGTTCCTGCCCTATCATGGGGCCTACATTCAGCTATCTGAGAACAATACCGTTGCCTGCCGAAACAAGTCGTTTGCCAATTCTATAACATTTAGCGAAAGACCGCTTCAGCCCGGCGAGATATTTCTTGTGGAGATTGAGCAGAACGAGTCTGGATGGAGTGGACATATGCGGCTCGGTCTCACCCAGTTGGATCCATTGGAAATGTATAGGAGACAGTCAATACCGCAATATGCACTGCCTGGTAAAATTAATTGCAGCCCCTCCCAAGCACAAAGTGCGATCATCCTGGGTGTTTTGCAGACTTGGTCGATATGGGCAAGTCGTGGATATACGGTATCAGCAAAGCGCACAATAACATTCTAGAATACATGCTGGATACACGCGTGCTAGGTGTGGACCAAGGATACATGTATGTTAAATATGGAAACAGGCCGGAGTTCAACAACTACAATTCGCATATCGAGACATGCAGGGGCTCAGTGCCAGTCAGCTTACTGAAGCCCACTAGAGGCTGTGATGACATCTTGCCCACTGATATGGGTATGCATTCTTTTGCCTAAATAACCGGGTTTCTATCATTCTCAGTGTTTCAGGGTCCCGAATAGGAGTGATGTATATTCCAGTAGATGATAAGGAAGCGGAAATGCACTATATTATTAACGGCGTCGACATGGGCACGTGTGCAAAGCATATTCCGTACAAAAACACACCTTTACACGTAGTTGTGGATGTGTATGGAACCACAAAAAAGGTCAGAATAATCCAGTTATATCACGGTAAGCAATTCCGATCTGACCACAAGCTGCAGAATGAGTTTTTTTAAACGACTTTCAGTTTCAACCTTGCAAGCTGCCTGTCGAGACGTTATCTTGCACCGAATGAACAAGCGCGACATTCCAGCTCTGCCGTTGCCAAAACTATTAAAGGACTATTTACAATATGGAACGTAAATGTGAGCTTACGGGACGGATTTATAGGAGCAAAGCCCTTACAACCGAACACACGTGCTTGCATTTCTGTTATATGTATATCCCAATTAATACTGGCTTGATTACTGTGTAGCTGTCGTCTCTAGGTACGTTCAATACATACACATACCTTGTATAGATTGTAAGGCTTCGAATAGCTTGTGGCCTGGTTGGGTCCAATTGCAAATGGTCTCGAAACTTTATTTAATTATAAAAATTACATTTCATGCCAATGTTTAACATACATTTTCTGAATGATTCAAGTAGCAGAAAAACCCCGTATTACACTTACGCTAGTTTAAATAATAAATATAATCCCGTCTGCCATCATCACCTGGTTTTCATCAGACATCTTCTCAATCGCCGCCTCAATTTCGCCTTGCGAATACGGAGTGCTGTTGTCTTTGTTGATGAATTCCTTCACTTTCACTAAACTCAGGGACTGAGTCCTGCTTTCTTGGAACGCTCTGTTTAAGGACGCCTTAAAGGACGACAGTCTGAAATCCAGTCACTGAATTAGTGGCACATTACTTGAAGTTTGGAGCGAAACCCTCACCTGTCCTGGGAGATTTCCTTGGGAGATTCATCCACTTCCATTGGACTTGATTCTTGGGATGCCAGACTGGCCGGCAGCTCAGTGGCCAGTTCGATATCAGCTGACGCTGTTCCATTGCGTCCGCTTCTTTGCGTGGTGGCCAGCTCATCGTCTGTGTCACCTCGATCTTCAGATCGCTAAAGACGCGGTTCAACTAACTTCCATCTCAGATTTCAAAGCAAATAATGAACTTACCAGTCTTCTGCTGCGCTTTGGTGGCTGACTGGCCTCCTCATCGCCGTCAGATTCGGAGTCCTCGTCCTTCCTGCGCCGCTTTTTCTCTCTTTCCAACACGGTCTTGAAGTAGGCATACTGGATGAGCTCGATGGCGGCTCGCGCGTCTTCAGCCGTCACCAAACGGGAAATTCGAGCTTTGGCGTGGGCTGTTGATAGACGAATCATTGTTTCCAGTGTACGCGGCGTAACTGGTTGCGTCTGGAAATAAATGACTGATATTGCACAAGCTGCAAAGGTAGTAAGGGAGTTACCATCTTCTTGAAAAACTTTTCAAAGTCCTCATTGCTAATGCTATTTAAACACAGTTGTGCCATGATGTGTTAACTCAACTGCCTCTGATTGAAAACTGTTTAAGCTTGGAGTTTGTTTGCTAAACGTGTTTATAGGTAGTTTTAAAAACAAACATGTGTTGTTTGGAAACGTCGACAGAAAATAGGTGGACATACCCGAGCCACGTCGTTCTCCAACATCTCCTCCGATCGCAGTCGGGAATATTCCTCGGCAATGATTTCCGACGCCTCATCAGTTAGTTGTGGCTTGAGGATTTTCACAAAATGAATGTATTTCCTCATAAAGTCCACGCTTAGGATTTTGTCGCTTTTCTTACGACTGTTTCCGTGCAAAAGCGCGTCATACTTCTCGTAGGTGGGCACTCGCTTTAAGTCGTCCTCATCGGGATTGTGGGTGCTGAAAATGTCCACCGTTGATCCCATTGGGAGGATTTCACCGTCCTGCTCTAGAGGATTTCTGGTAAAACGAAAAAAACACATTTAGGTCATCATTTGTTAAATCGTGATGAGGCAATGAATGCTTCTCAACTCACGCCCCTTTCACTAATAGTTGAGTTTATTTATTTAAACAATGCTCACTTCAACAGTATACAATATTGTAACGGAAATGGCCTGGGGTACTCACGTTTGATATGGGGGGATCAAAAGTCGTGGTATTTTAGTAAATGGGAGCCCCATTTGCGCCCCATTTACTGTCAAATATGAAGTAATGTAAATATGTAATTTTGAAGTTAGTTTGTTCCTGTTCCGCATTTAAAGTTATACCGAGGTGAATAAAAGTTGGAAGCTGAAGAAAGAGTTTGATACCCGGCCATCCACGGTACAATTTATATTCGTGCTTAGTTGCAGCTTTATATTAGTCGTATACCTGTACATGTGCATCCTGACCACATGATCCGATATTTCAAAGTCCGTCTGCTCCTCGATAGTATCCAACATGACGAACAGCAAATCAAAACGCGACAATAAGGAGTCTTGTAGACCGATGTTTTCCATCGGCGTTTTGTATTGGTCGTACTAGAAGTAAGTTTGAAGGAAAACGAGGCAACATCGCCCATATTTTACTCACTTTTCCGTAGACAGGATTGGCGGCAGCCAGCACAGAACATCTAGCGTTCAAGCTGGCATGAATGCCGGCTTTTGCTATCGTAACTCTTCCTTGTTCCATAACTTCATGGATGGCTGTCCGATCAATATCGCTCATTTTATCGAACTCATCAATGCAAACCACTCCCCTATTTAAGCAGTTAGTAAAAGATCAACATTTTCCTCAATTCCGTCGAAGTACCTGTCTGCCAACACCATGGCTCCCGCCTCCAATCTTCTTTCACCAGTTTCCTGATCTGTGGTAACGGCTGCAGTTAAACCCACGCCTGAAGACCCTCGGCCAGTGGTAGGAATGGCTCGGGGGGCAGTATGCAACACATACCTTAAAAGCTGAGATTTGGCTACGCTCGGGTCGCCAATCAACAGGACGTTAATGTCACCCCTCAAACGAGTGCCATTTACCAAATTCTTCTCAACGCCCCCCAGCAGGAGACACAGGATGGCCTTCTTAACATACTCATGGCCATGAATGGACGGCGCCAACGATTTTGCCAGGAGATTGAAAATGTTTTTATTGGATTTCGCTAAGTGCTTGCAGCGCTGAACGTCCTCTCTTGAAATTGATGGCACTGTGTCTTTGCTCAGCAGCTTGATGTTATTAGCTATAATAATGGACCTAAAATGAAGCTTCCTCAGTGTGTTGAACCCTTCCAGCCTAAATAGTGTTTCGCGTACTTGAATACACCATTAGTGAAAGCTCCTTGGTGATTAGGCAGACATCGGAAATTCCCAACCACTTGAACTCTATCGCCTGGCTTGCAGGCGTCAACTAAATCATTGTCGCAGATGACATCTACCACCCGGGGCAACTGACCAGCGGGCGCCTTTTCCGGCATCTCTTGAATTGAGATCACTTGATGGTCTTTGTATCTGCACAAGCCAAACTCTGTTTCCAATGGGTTCCCATCGTCATCCTAGTAACGCCAATTGAGAGTTGAGACTGTCTGAGTCTGTGCTAATCCTACTAACCTTCGTCGGATACAAAGCACTGGAGGGCACGGCCTCCAGAGATGTTAAATCCGTGTATTTCCTTTCCATAAACTTTTTGGTGGCTGGACAATAGTGCACGCTTCTCACTAGTTTGGGGTAAATCAAAGAACCTGCAATGCATCATTTGAGTTTGTGTTTAACTCCAAATCAAAATGAATTCCTGGGTTTCAGTCATTTATTGTCTTTATTTATCAATTAAAATACGTTTCGGTGTATTTGCAAAATGCACCGAATTAACCGGTTAATTGATAAATAAAGACAATAAATGACTGAAACCCAGGAATTAATTTTGATTTGGAATTGAAACACAGTCAGGAAAGTATATACAATTTGTGTTTAACGCAAAATTCTCCGCCTTACACTTGCTGACAATCCCTTCCACGCAAATGAGGTTTCCTAGGTAATGCGAAGTTAATGTTCTGGGAGAAACATGTTTGTTTCCTAAGCTTCCCTCAAACGCTATGAAAAACTCTTCCGTATCTTTAGCATACTCGTAGTTGATTTGGTTGACTATCTCCTTTAGCGCTCGTTGAAACACCGCTTGTTCTTCGAAGGCATGATTCAACAAGGCCAGCGCTCTGACGGGGTTCTTCCTTCGAAGATCATTTACATTCACCACCAGACGTCTGCCTTTCTCCTCTATCATATCCTTGATTAACTTTGAGTATTTTCCTTGGTCTTCCTAGGTAAGCAAAGGAAGCTAATTGTGTCCTTAAGAGAGCGGAAATCAGTCCCTACCTCATCATCTAAAAAGTCTTGGTAGTGGCTTTGAGCTTCACGCAGTTCCAATTCGTTTGAACTTGCCATTCTCACTTTGCCTTAACAAGAAAGCTTGAAATTGGCAAAAACAACAAATAAATTAACAGTAGACAACAGGAGATTATAGGTTAGCTCAATTTTTGGCGGCAAGATCTTCTTCCTTCCAATTTAAAATAATTTGTACGTTGGACTATGGAAAAAGAAGCTTTTACTTTGAAAAATTACATACTCTATTTATAAAAAGCGGGGTTAATCAAATTCGTTTAAAAAAACATGCCTGAAGTTGAAATATATTACATAAATGTGGAAAAAGTCCTTTGAAACGAAACGGTTAGATCCAACCAAAGCTGTTTTGAATAAAACTTGGCAACACGGAAACAATGTTTGGCAAATATACAGGTTAAGTCCTCAATGTTATTTATTTCTTGTGATTGTCATTAAAGTATCACTTTCCGTTAACATTTTGAGTTCATTTGCATATTTTTGATTTACACTTACCGATAAGCAACGAATCATGTTATTGGGTCGCTCGTCCAAAGCTTTTTATCAAACTCTCAACTCTACATTAGCTAAAAGGCCTATTTCGGTAACAAATGCCATCAACCAAGACTACAGGTAGTGGACACCTGATTTTTTAAGGGCCAATTCTTCAACATTGTAATCATAATTGCAGTTGCAAGGTGTTGGTGGTCGGTGGCGGTACTGGTGGCTGTGCGGTAGCCGCAAAATTATCCAGAAAATTGAAGAAAAATGAACTGATGGTGTTAGAGCCTAGTCACGATCACTACTATCAGCCTCTGTTCACCCTGGTTGGAGCTGGAATTGAGCAGATAGAGGACACAAGGAGACGCGAGAAGGACGTTCTTCCAGGAAATTGTACTTGGATTCAGGACCAAGCTGCTGAGTTGGATCTAAAGGGGAATGTTGTCCGGTCAACAAAAGGGCACAATATCAAGTTTGATTACTTGGTAGTTGCCACTGGAATTATCCCCAGATATGAACAAGTATGTGAAGGTTTCAATTGTTAATTAATTTGGAAAACTTCATGCAATTTATTTACAGATTCCCGGCTTGATCGAATCCCTAAACCAGCCTGATACAGGGGTTTGTTCCATATACGCCCCTAACTACGCCCCAGGAGTTTACAGAGCCATGCAGCGAGTGAATTCCGGGAACGCTGTTTTTACTTTTCCAAACTCCCCGGTTAAATGTCCTGGAGCTCCCCAGAAAATTTGCTATCTCACAGATGACTACCTGAGGAAGGTACATAAACGCAATAGATTAAAGAGTTTCCAACTAATTTATACCGTTCGTACCAATTACTTTGAAGATTGTTCAATTTAGTCAAAAGCATTATCTATATCTTAAGGCAAAACTATTAATACTTAGCTGGTTGCATTTATAGCAAGGCAAAAGAGAGAAAGTGCAAGTAATCTATAACACGTCTCTGCCGGTCATTTTTGGAGTGAAAAAGTATGCGGATGCCCTATGGAAAATCTGCAAGGAACGGAACATCGCCGTTAATACACGAACGAATCTGGTGTCGATTGATCCTGATGCAAAGCAAGCCACTTTTGAAAAGTTGGACACCCCAGAAGAGAAATTTACACTGCCTGTACGTTTGGATTCAATTGAAGAGAACAAATCATCAACTGACTGTAATGTTTTAGTTCTCCATGCTTCACGTGACTCCGCCCATGTCCACTGCTCAGGCCATCAGCCAAAACAAAGACCTAACTAATGCAGCTGGATTTGTGGAAGTTAATAAATTTACCATGCAACACGTTAGATTTCCTAACGTATTTGCGCTGGGAGACTGCAGTTCTTCGCCGAACTCGAAAACCGCAGCAGCTGCAGGTGATTTGTCAACTACGTAAATCCACCAAGCAACTAACGCATTGAATTCTAGCCGCCCAAACGGAAGTGGTGTATGAAAACCTAGCGGCAGTGATGCGGGGCAAAGAAATGCCTTTGACTTACGATGGCTACGCGTCATGTCCCTTGATAACCGGCTACGATAAGTGTATTTTGGCGGAATTTGACTACGACTTGAATCCGCTGGAAACATTTCCTTTCAGTCAGGATAAGGAACGATTGTCGATGTATCTGTTGAAGAAGAACGTGATCCCGGCTATCTACTGGACCCTGATGATGAACGGTCATTGGAATGGACCCGCACTTTTCCGCAGGATTATGCATTTCGGCAGAGAAAAATAGTAACAGTATTGACCTCTAATGGTTACTTGTGTATGTGATTGCTTTGTATTGATATCGGCTCCAAATGTGATACATAAAACACGGCCCGTTCGAGTAATGTGTACCTAATATGTGATAATCTTTGTTCTTTAAAATATTCTATATTTAATTATACATATGTCCATTTATTACTGGCTTTTGAAATATATACTTATTTATTTATAGCTATCTTGATTTTGGATGTTTGCCCATGAAATGCCGCAAGTCTGTTTACTCAGTATTGTCTTGTTGAGCCACTCAAGATAATAATCTTGTGAAATAATACTTAAAATCCGATGACTTAATCTGGCTAATCAAATTTCTTAACGCTTTGATAAGATTTAAAATTCCAAAAGTAGCCTAATCTACTTTAATCCATTGCACGGTTCAATCTAATAAAAGTGATAGTTGCCGTTGTAAAAAATGGCTTTGTGCTGTCGCTTTCAAACCCCGACTAGCGATGACGAAGAAGCGAGGAAATACACCAAAGTGTTCGTCGATACGAAGAAAATTCTGCTTTTGGGTACAGGCGAATCGGGAAAGACCACAATTATTAAACAGATGAAAATTTTGCATATCAACGGATTCTCGGATGAGTAAGCGCTTTCAATCAATTTTTCGATTGTTCAGGAATGTCTTTGGTTTCAGGGATCGCAAAGCCCGAATTCCCAATATCAAACAGAACATCCATGAATCTATATTCGATATTCTCTATAATATGGATAAAATTGATCCACCCGTACAACCAAGACGTGGAGACACCAGAATTTCGATCGATTTTATATTAAATTTGGGGCCCAAAGAGCCATCAGAATATAACGAGGTGAGAACTCATACAGAATGACCAAAAATTACAAGTTTTCTCCATTTATGGAAAGCTGCTCATGATGAACTAATAATTTCACTCTGCAGGAATATTTTAACCATGTTAAAGCAGCATGGCAAGATGAAGGAGTTAAGGAAACGTTTCAACGTTCGAATGAATACCAACTCATTGATAGTGCAGAACAGTAAGTATTATTTAAAAAAAATCCCGTTTGGTCTCCAACTCGAAAAACCGGCATTTTTTAGTTTCCTCAACAGAATTGATGCGATAAAACAGCCAGACTACATCCCCGATACGCAAGATATCCTATTTTGCCGCATTGAGACTAAAAGCATATCGAAAATAGAGTTTGAGGTGCCTCTATCGAAGTTTGAGGGAAGCAGTGCCAAGTTCTGGATGTATGATGTGGGCGGTCAACGCGGTGAGTCTTTAAAATTAAACGCGTGTGTTAAATTTGACGAATTTGTCTAGGTCATCGCAAAAGATGGATACAAGCATTTGATGGCATCCAGGCAATACTATTTTTGATCAGCGCCAGCGACTTTGACCAAAAATTGCGAGAAGACCCAACGAAAAACCGCCTACAGGAGGCGTTCGATTTATTCAAGGACATCCATAGAACCAAGTGCGTTTTGAGGTCTCCAAACCAAACAAATTAAATCACTATAAATGGTTGCAGGTTTGTTAGAGAGGCGGGCCTGATTGTATTCCTCAATAAGCAGGATTTGCTGCAGCGAAAGATTCAAGAACAGCATAGAAAAGTGGAAACATACTTTCCAGAGTACGCCAATTATATTCCATCCAAAAAGGACGAATGGGATGGAAGTGACGAGTATCAGAGAGCCAAACTGTTCATGAGGCACAAAATCCTGGTGAGTTTTAAACATGTTGCCAAACAAATCATTCTACAACTTCAATATCGCCCATGTGTTGTAGAGTATTGCGTCTATGCCAGTTAAAATTGAAAATGTGGGATTTGTGCCAGGATACAACATTAATGAGGAATTGTCGCCGAGAGACGTTCATGTGCACTTCACCATTGCCACCGATACGAATAACATCAAAAGGGTATTTGAGAGTGTAAGGGAAATCATCCTGACACACATAACTGGCAAAGTATTTTCCCTCTAAAAAACTTGTTCAATCTATTTGTAAAGTATATTAAATTGTATCATTAAACGGAACATTCTGGCTTGATGATAAATACCAAGATTATACAGAAAAAGGATTCTGAGCTCTTTGAACTCACTTAAGTAATGACCATTTGAGCTGCTCTTTTGCAGTTTGAAACACCTACAAATGATATCACATGATTAGTGACTGGCTAATGCATTTACTCCCTACTTAAATCACATTAACAAAGTAACTGAGATCAGACTTAAAAACTGTCACCAAAATAGAGAGTGAATTGCATTGGTTACCTGAGCAACAGTTTGCTCTCCAATTGGGATGTCATCACTTCTCACTGCGACTCTTGAGACTACGGAGCTAGAATCCGCATCAATGATGATTCTATAGAAAGTTTCCTCAGTGAAAACCGACAGAAGACGTAACATAGATATGGCAGACTTACCCACTATCACAAATTTCGTCTATAGCAAGCATAACAATGTCTAACGAGTCCATAACAGCTCGTTTCTCCACATTTTTTCGCAAAATCTGACTCAATGAATCATACAGGCAGTTCAAAACATTCATTAAGATAAGCTGAAATAACATAAGGATTATACATTAGCTACTTTAAGCCAATAAACTAGCAAACATCTTCACATGGTTGAAAAACGAACAGTTTGCTTGGAGAACTCTTACACCCACATTTAAAGCTCTACTGGTCAGGAAAACTTGGGACTTAACTAACAGGGCTGACATAGTGCATACTTACCTCATTCTCATTTGAATTCCCCATAACATAGAAGAACAAATCCACATTACTCTTGTAGACACAGGTAAAGCCATCCAGCATAATAATTTCTGCATTTGCTCTGTGAGTCTTATTGAAGAGGTTTTTTTCGAATGCTTTTCGCTCCTTGACTGTCGGAAGAGACTTGACGTCGTAATATTTAGCCAGGATTCTGTTCCCGTCGCTATCCAAAATAACTATGCCCTTGACGGTGTACAGTGTGGGCTCCTAAAAGTGACCCCTTAATTTACTGGTCCTTAATCACGCTATTTACTTACTAAAAGGCACCCTTCCATATTTTCAAATAATTACTAGGGGCTCAAACACGTACACAAACGTTTGTCAAATATTATTAGGTTAGGTCTTGATAGTTTTTAGTTTTGACGTAGATAGTCAGGCAACAACGCATCTTTGCAGATGACATGTAATTAATTGGTTTTTAATGCTGCTGAGCGGCCTATGAATATGCGTAAAAATTGTACATTAATGCCCCAAAAATTTGATGTTTTTTTTTTAATTACTCGTGTCGCATTAGAGGGCTCCGATGAAGATAAAAGACTTAATAATAATATTTCCTGTCGATGTTGCCAAATATTTAGCATTGCTTAGGTTCAAGGTTGGCTTGCCGGTTATGTAGTCCTCGAATGACTTCTATCATTTTTCTGACAGCATTTACATTTTCGTCCACTTTTTCTCTCAGAAGCGGCCCTTTGAAAGCGGACTAAAGGTAATTTTCTTTTATTTCAACCATCTTCAGATGGTTTGAGCCATTGAACATATTCTAAAAGTAAGAAAACGATTAAAAGTCCCTTTCCGTAAATATATTTTCTTATATTTCGCTATTACGGGGTCCATGGACTCCTAACCCCTAATTTAAGCAATTTGTTTTAATTGCTATCAGCTCTATGCCCATTTATAGCTCTCAACACCATGCATATGATGATTACACTCCAAGGTTTCGCAAAAATACTCTTATGAAGCAAACTGAAATCACACTTGGCAGTCTGATTTAACGCAGTTTGTGCATCAAGAATTCAAGCCCCTTATTTAATACCTTTGCTCATTTGTTGTTTTTTTTATTTAAGCCATCAAAATGCCAGAACTCACTGAAGTTGACAAAGCCACTCCGGTGGAACCCAAACCTGAGAAGCCAGAACAAAGCGCCGAATCTTCTACGGGTATGTTGAAAGCCCTATTTCAGCCGGATTTCCTGTAATTTGATTTCAGAGAGTGATTCAGATGAAGAAATTCCCGAATTGGAGGACGCTGGAGCGGCCACTGCTGCCACTGCAGCGTTTCCTGGAGCGTCCGCAGCTGGTCTGCCAGTTGATATGGTCTCAAAAGCCAAACAATCCCGAGGCGAAAAAAAAGCCAGAAAAATCATGTCTAAATTGGGGCTGAAGCCAGTGAGTGTATCACGAAAATAATTGGATTCTTTCTCATTTGAAGTGTTTACAGGTGCAAGGGGTTAGCAGGGTAACGATCAGAAAATCAAAGAACATCCTCTTCGTCATCAATAAACCCGATGTCTACAAGAACCCGGTCAGCGACACTTACATTGTGTTTGGTGAAGCTAAAATTGAAGATCTTTCTCAACAAGCTCAAGTAGCCGCCGCTGAGAAGTTCAAAGAGGTACGAAAAACTGATGTAATGTGACATAGTTTTCTAAGCCCACCGTTGCCAAAAACTAGTGATTTTGAAATTTAATTGATTGTTTTGCCCATAGGTCAATCCGGCGGGTGATGGTGCATCCGGCACCACTACAACAGCTGTGGCTCCGATAGCTGAAGAATCTGACGAAGATGAAGAGATCGACGAGACTGGGGTTGAAGACAAGGACGTTGAATTAGTGATGTCACAGGCCAATGTTAGTAGAGTGAAGGCAGTGAAGGCGCTTAAAAATAACCAGAACGATATAGTGAACGCGATAATGGAGTTGACGATGTGAGTTCACGATATGCGCCAGCGTGAAACCAGTTAGCGTCTCTGAGTTATAGTAAAGTCCTCTTGTAAGTCTGTTATCGGTCATAGGCGTTGACTGGATTATTTTATGCAATTACGTCAATGCCCTATTCTTTAGGGAAGTAATGTAATTTGGCTGCGCATTTGGAGTTTTCTCGTTACAGTTCAAAATAAATGTAGGCAGTGGTATATTTATTTTGTATTGATGACATCAACAGTTGCGTAAAACTGTACCTTATGTAACATATGCAGTCAATAAACAGTAAAATATTCAGTTTCGTTTTGCTTGTGGATTTAAACTGCCGTCTCCCCTAGTCCCTAAGCCCCATTTTCATCAGAAACAAGCGAAACGCAGTTTGACGAAACTAAGTTTATGTTAAACGCCGAAATTAAACGTGTTTAACTACGGACCGTTTTCACCAGAGCTTCGGCACGTTTCACAAACTGCGTTTATTGAAACGCAGTTTATGAAACTGGAAACACTGGCATCGTTGCAAAAGTGAGAAATATTACGATTCTCATCACAAAATCATCTTATCAAGGAACCATTTGGGTCCATGATGTCAATAACCTGTTATCAAACCCAAACTTCCTGCTCGAACTAACCGTAAAATTTTAGTTTGCTTTATTTATGCACGGTTTGTGCATTCGTGTATGGCTTATGACTGGTATACATGTGTTTATTAGATTTTCTATTTGAAAAATTACTTAAACAAGTAGAAAATTAAGTCCTGCGGA